TCTCTCTCTCTCTCTCTCTCTCTCTCTCTCTCTCTCTCTCTCTCTCTCTCTCTCTTTTTATAGGGGAGTCAGAGTTTGAGAGGATAGCCCTGGCTAGCCTCTAATTTTTGGCATCTTTCTGCATCAGCTTCCTAAGTACTGGGATTATAGACATGGTTTTTCCCACCTGGCTTTAATTATTCTTTTAAATAAGAATAAGAGTGATAGGTATTAAAATTTTTAACTGGGATTGATGATGTAGGTTAGTGGTAGGGTTAGTGATTAGCATTTGTGAGGTCCTAGGTTCATGTCTTTGCACAGCAAAAACAATTGTAAAATGCACATTTAGTTTACAACTGAGATGAATTCCAGTCACTTTAATGTTATTAACTTATTCTGGAAAAACAGCATAATTAGTTATATCCAAAAAGTAATCTAAAGTAAATGATATCAGATGTATTCGGATTTCTTGTTGATAAACAGTCTTTGAATGTGTTTATTGGTGGTTCATAGCGTGAACTCAGTGTTTTCTGTGGGAAAGTCATCCACTGGGAACTGAATCGATGCCTCATAATTAGAATCTGTATAAAAGCAGTGCCAAACATGTACAATGTTTGATCCTTTCCCTTTGCCAATAGCACCATAAAAATATCATGGGCTGGATGAATTATAAAGAAAGAATTGGATTTATTTTGCCCTGTGATTCTGAGCATGCAAGGTCACAGTTCTACCTCTGATGATGGCTGCCTCCTCTTCCTCCTCCCCCTTTTTTTTTTTTGTTTTTTGTTTTTTGTTTTTTTGAGACAGGGTTTCTCTGTGTAGCCCTGGCTGTTCTGGATCTCATTTTGTAGATCAGGCTGGCCTCAAACTCAGAGGTCTGCCTGCCTTACAGTTGCTTCTTCACTTCTTGTAACCCCTTATCTTGTGTTTAGGTATTCCCAGTTCCAAGATGAATACAGCTTAGATGAAATAATGAAATCAAAACCAGTTTTCGATTTTCTGACTGTCTTACAGTGCTGGTAAGAGAAGCATGGTAACATTTCCTAGACATGACCGCTCTCCTCCCTACCCGTCCCTCAGTGGCTAACCCTGATGCTGTCTCTGCAGCTTCTGTAGAATGACCACTGTGCTCCTCCTCACTCTGCTTACTTCAGGAGAGTGTACCCTTATTTCCTGTGGCTGCTCTGAGGCTGATCCCCTCCTGTCATGAAAAGATAGGTTTGACTTCTTCCCTGTCTAGTAGCTTCTGTTTGCTTTGACTGCCTCTGTTTATTCATTAATAAACTGCCTTAGATGCCAGTGCGGCCCCGGGGTTCTTGGAGCAGCTTGCTTTCCCTGTAGACTTTAATACAGGAAGATAAGAGCGGAAAGGAGAGAAGGAATTGTAGCTCATACTCACATCCTGAAACTTGCCTGCCACTCTCACTCCTGGAACACGGACTGAGTACTGTGTGGTCCTGTGTACACTCCTGGCTGAGCGTCGGAGATACTGTCCAGGATGCAGTTAAAAAAATGATCAGCTGTCACCTGTTACAGACTGAGGGACAGCCTACTGAGAAGATCCTTCCCAACTCACTGGGGGCTTCTGGTGTGTGCCACCTCCCTTCACAGATTACTGTAGGTCTGTGTTGAGATCTCAGGGGACTTACCTCTGGATTTACTATATTCTGTCCCAGATTCCAAAAGGGTTTCAGACTGAGCTCTCTGGGGTATAACAGAGCTGGAGTGGTGTGAGCCCATACCTTGTGTCTGCTGGGGGCCAGCCCCCCGCGATTCTTCTTTCATCTTGGTTCTTCTTGTGGCAGTGGGGGGAGGAGCTTCAGTGGAGGTAAGACTTGGTTTTGCAGATACTTATGGTGGCTGTATAATAATAGAATGTTTACCTATCTTAAGTCTAAGTTACCTGCTACTGCAGCTGAGCTGCCTCCTGAGTTCATTTTGGGCCAGAAACTGCAGTCTCTGGCAATTAGCACCTCATCGTAAAACAGCAGAGGATTAAGTAAAGGATTAATTGCTAAAGCCTTTTCCCTCTTGTCCAAATGCCTCTCACTTGTCAGGTGAGGGGGAAGTTGGGAGCAATAAACTTCTACTGAACCAGGAGAAGAGAATCACGGTCACAGAAGGAAAAGCTTTTAGATAAACAAATGTGGATTAAATTCACATAAATTCATATACAGATTCATGCATATACATTCACAAATCTCCATTTGAACTAGTTGGGCCCAGCTTACATACTTATCTCATAATTACATACTCGCGCACACACACACACACACACACACACACAGATCCATATTTACATAAGCATATGGAGAAAAAGACCAAGCACCGGTGCAGAAAGAACTCATTCATTCTGAATGAAAAATGAGTTCCAATCTTTATTGCATAGAGAAAGAAAAAGCTTCTACCCTTTTAAATAAATTAGACCCAAGCCCAAGTCTGTAAGAAGAAAGCTTTTTTCTCTTTAGTGAGACTAAGGCTGCCTTGCTATAAAGAGAAGACCTTCCCTGTCCCACGGTGAGGAGAAGCCTGCCTGTTCCTTGTGCTGTCTGCAGCTTCTTCCTTCCCTCCTTCCCTCTGCATTCTGCACATGGCTCTTAGTTTTTATGTCACCAATAGTTTCTAAGTTCTTCCACCCTCCTTCTAACCTTGCTCTCTCCCCTGCTCTGGTGTAACAGTGCTCTGCTCCCAGTGCCTCACTCCCAGTGCTTTCTCTCCAGTGTTACACCTTCAGATGTGGTCTTTCCTAGTCTTTTGTACCTTTTCTAGGAGAATAGATCACATGGATTTTCTAAGCATCCATTTTTTTTTTATTTTACAAAAGTTCACTAGAAGTTCAAACATAAATTTAAATCATAAATTGAATAAGAAGTTTACAGCAGAGAACGTTACATGCACATCCATTGAGTCATTATCTGCCTAAACTCTCGTCATCTCTCACCAGCTTAACAGGTTCACCGAGAGTTAAAAACCATAACTTTTGTGACTAAGTATTAGTGAAGTTTTGTACACATAAACCTAGTTAGTATTTTACCTTCTGTCCTTCCACCTATAGTAAATCCTTAGTTCCCTTTTTATAAACATTGGTTAATGGTTTTACAACCTCTTAGAATGTACTCTGAGTGGTAGATGCCTGCTTGCTATCTCAGAAGCAATCAACTCAGGACACTTTAAGACTGGCAGAGTTCTCATTGAAGTTTTGATATCAGAAAAGATTTAATAGCAGTCTTATTATAAAAGAGCTTAAAAATTACTAATTTTAGGAATTCTTATAAGATCATCATTAAGAATTAAGAAGTCATCTATTTGTCAATTTAGCATCACTTCATTGTTCTGCAGAAATCTGGTCAAAAGGCAGTGATTGTTATATATATTTAATAATAACAAGAAAGGCATATAAATAGCAGGAATCTTTCCTAAAATGAAAAGTCCTGGGCCTTGCCTGCATTAGCAAACCCATCGTAGATTTTAATCCAAGGCAGAACCATCTCAGGAAGATCACCTGCTAGTTTTTAGCTTCTGGATGATTCCTGCATATGTCTTCATAGTATTAACAGGAAGCAGCCTTTTAGACTCACTCCACAGAAAGGCCCCAGAAATCACCTCATGCATATCCAGGATTATTTCAGTGAGAGTTTGAGGGAGAGACTGCAGACTGAGCAGTGAGGACCATCTGAGGTCTTGCTAGAGGCTCAGCCCCAACAGGATGGATGTGCGACTTAACGTAAATATCAGAGAGAAGACTGCGCTGGCTAGGAAGCGTGCTTGGTCTTTCTTCTCCTAGCTCCCAGTCTGAAACCCAAGGAGATGCTGGCATCAGTAATTATTTTCACTTCTGATTAGTCCCACCTCAGATGGCGCTGCAGCAGCAGTTCTGTCTAGTGAGGAGTTTGTGCAGAAGTATGGCCTGCAGTCCAAAGCTGTGGAAATTGTGGCACAGGAGATGATGACCGACCTGCCCAGTACATTTGAAGAAAACAGTATTATTAAACTGGTATGTCAGAGATTCTTTTTTTTAAAAAATCAGATTAAGGAAATCGTATTTTAAATTCCAGCCTAGCATTGTATTGTTGTTAGCTCTGGAAGATATTAGAAAAACTTGATCTAGAAGGTTCTCATTGTAGCCCATCCTTAAGGATTTGTGAGGGAGATGGGCTTGGTACACTCCTGTAATTGGGGCATAGAAGAAGGAGGATCAGGAATTCAGGGGTAGCCTCAGCTACATTGCTAACCAGATGTTATTTAAGTTGGAGCCATGAGTAAGGTATTTTAATTCATTAGACATGCTGGTTTGGAGTTTGGGGTTTTGTTGTTTTGGTTTTTTTTAAGACAGGGTTTCTCCACATAGCCCTGACTGTCCAAGAACTCTCTCTGTAGACCAGGCTAGCCTGAAATTCAGAAATTGTCAACTCTGCCTCCTGAGTGCTGAGATTAAAGGGGTGGGCCCTTATTGAAGAGAAAGTAAGAGTTCAGACCTACAGTGAGTTGAACAATTAAAGATTCATCCTCAGCCCACAGAAACAATTGCATGGTAAAGTACAGTTTATAAAATAGTTTTACACGTGCTACAAGTTTGAAATGCTCACATAACTTAATCAGTGCTTTGGTTTGGACCTAAACTGTTCCCTATATGCTCCTGTGTTAGAGACTTAGTCCCTGATTGAGCTATGTTTTGAGGTGAAGTCTTTGGGAGGGGACTGCTTCATGGGGATCCTAACCTAATCAAAGTACTACGGCATTGATGGATTCATAGCTCAGTGGGGTTCAGGGCAGAGGTGTTGTTGAAAAGCTAGCACTCTGTCTGCTTTTTGGCCTTTATGAGGTGAACTGCCTTGCCCTACTATGTGTTCTCTGCTATGAGATGTGCGTGTGCGTGTGCGTGTGCGTGTGCGTGTGTGTGTGTATAAAATCTTGCAATGGCCTTGTGTGTTAGTACCAAGCGACCTTGGGTTGAAACCTGCAAAACCATGAAGCAGACTAATTTTTTTCTAGTGGTAAGTCAGGAAGAACAAGAACACAGGGTCATCCTTTACTACACAGTGGATTTGAGGCTAGCCTTGGCTACATGAAATCCTGTCTAAATATAAAACAAAACAAAACAAAACAAAAGCTTTCCTGCTCTTCAGTTGTTTTTTTAGGTGTTTTGTCCCTTCAGTGGAACATTGACCAGTAAAGACCATGAAATTGGGTTATGGCATACAGACTATACTCAAATTGTCTTATAGCACACTTTATAGTATTTTTGCCTTATTCCTTGAATCAAAATCAAACATGGCCTGTGCAAAAATGGTTTGAATTCTGTATGATCTTCTAAAACAGGTTACATATTTTCCTGTAGAAATTGTCCCATTTTTTCACTATGTCTGCTTAAAATGATGTATTGAAAATTCTCTTCAGCTAGTGCAGCTACACACTATGACCTCATCAGTACAACTATACATGACCTCATCAGCACAGCTACACACTATGACCTCATCAGTACAACTATACATGACCTCATCAGCACAGCTACACACTATGACCTCATCAGTACAACTATACATGACCTCATCAGTACAGCTACACACTATGACCTCATCAGTACAGCTATACTCTATGATTTCATCATACATCTATACACTATGATTTCATAACAGTATAAGTTAAATCTCAGATTCTAAGTCCTTTTTCAATATCTTAGGGTATAGAATTTGAGTTGTACATTTTTATATTATAGATTTTTTCATATAATGCAGAATCAGCTGGGATTTCAATATATGTGATATTTTGAGGTTTTAATATTATGCATGTATTACTCTCTTAAAATCTTTGTCTAAAAGGCCAAATGTTGGTGCCCTTTATTTACTTGGCAATGAATTTATGGATGTAGGTCGGCTATGATATGAGTAAGGAAGCTGCCAGGAAGTGCTATGAGAAGTCCGGTCTGAGGCCCAGCGATGTCGACGTGATAGAGCTTCACGATTGCTTCTCTGCCAACGAACTCCTGACTTACGAAGCCCTGGGGCTCTGTCCAGAAGGTAGTGTCTTTGAAGGGCCCTGTGTAAATCCCGTGGAGAAGGTTTCACTTTCATCTTTAAACAATACAAGTCACTAATTGCCTTTCCCTACAGGTTGACTCTGCCACACAGGGCAAAACGGATGTAAGAGAGTTTTTAGAACATCCAGTCTTGGACAACACAAACACTGGTATAACAGAGTGTGTCCTTAATTTACATGATGCAAATCAGTAGTAAGAATGTATGGTTACATTTTAAAGAGAATTTATTAGCCCTGCAATCCCAACTATTTTTTAATTGTGTTTAAATAGACATGCAGAAAGAAAAACAGAAGAACTAGTTGGTGCGTTTAAAGGGTTCTTTTCCATTCTAAAGTACACCATGTTCCTCAGAGTGTGAACTTTTGGTTGCTTCACCTCCTTGTCAGCACCTGATGGTCAGTTGTGTACATTTCAGGAATGCTCAAGAGATTGTAATTGTATCTCATCTTAGTCTTTATTTTCACATGTATTTTCTTCTTCTTCTTCTTCTTTTTTTTTTTTTTTTTAAGATTTAAGCGGAGTGGTGGTGGTGCACGCCTTTAATCCCAGCACTTGGGAGGCAGAGGCAGGTGGATTTCTGAGTTTGAGGCCAGCCTGGTCTACAGCGTGAGTTCCAGGACAGCCAGGGCTACACAGAGAAACCCTGTCTCGAAAAACCTAAAAAAAAAAAAAAAACCAACAACAACAACAACAAAAGATTTATATTATCTTTATGTGTAACATGTCAGTGTCTGTCTGTGGTTATGTGGATGTGTGACTTCAGGTGCCTATGGAGTCCAGAAAAGAGCACTGGATCTCCTAGGGCTGGAGTTACAGCTGGTTGTGAGTCACCCTAAGTGGGTGTTAGGAATCAGACATGGGTTCTCTGGAGAAGAGCACTACATCGTGTTCTTAACTGGTGAGCCATCGCTCCAGCACCTCATTTTATGTCTTTTAGGTCTATTTAAATCTTTGCCTTGTGGTTCTCTGTTATTTGTCTTTATTGTGTTGTAATAAATATATGTGTAATATAATATTAATACATGCGCTATATATAGATATCTAGATATAGGTCAGTGACTGTTTTACTGTTTCGTTGTTTCTACTTGTGCTCTCTACTTTCTCTTCCCTGTTCTTCTGTCTTCTTTTGCATTATTTGAACATTTTTAGTATACTATTTTAATGTATCTGCTGGCTTTTTTTGGGCACGATTTCTTTTAAAAAAATTAGCTCGTTAATGTTTACTGTGTGTGTTGTGTGTGTTGTGTGAATTGACTTGTGTGTGGCACAGCACACATAAGGAGCCAGAGGACGCTTCCTGGAACTGCTTTTCTCCTTTTTCCATTGTATGGGTTCCAGGGTCACACTTGGGCATCTAGTGTGTGTCACGAGCCCTTTACCTGCTGAGCCATCTCATAGGCCTCCCTTTCCCTCAGGCTAGTCCTAACTTGATATGTAGCTCACAGTGACCTTGGACCGCTGATCCTTTTATTCTGTGTTCCAAGTTCTAGCACTCTACAAAGTTAGCTGCACCCTTAGCCCCTTTGTTTCTTTTTCTTTTTTAGTGGCTGCGAATAGGATAGCCTGAGCACTGTGACATTTGAGATGTTATTCTGTGGTAGAGCTTGCACATTTTAGGGTGTTCAGCAGTGAGTATCCCTGGCTTTCTACTCACAGAGTGCCACAAATGCCTCCCACAGTTGTGACAGCCAGGAATAGCTCTAGACATTGCCAGATTTCTCCCTGTGGGTAACGTCTCTCCCAGCTAAGAACTGCTGCTAAAGGTCATGTATGTATGTGTACGTAACCTTCAGTCTCCTTGTAGTTAACGTTATGACTCTTCACAGGCAAGGTGGAAACCTTGCCTCCAGTTAGGCCCATTAACCAACTCTTCTTTGCTGTCACTGATCTTATTTTTGTAGCTGCTGCAGTATTACATCTGTTTGGATTGAAAATATTAATATGATGAAATAATTTTCTTTTATTGTATTTTGAAGACATTAAGAAGAAAAAGGGTTTTATATTTATCTAGATACTTATAATTTCTATTGCTTTCTTCATTCTTAAAGATCGTGTGTGTGTGTGTGTGTGTGTGTGTGTGAGGGAGAGGGAGAGAGAGAGAGAGAGAGAGAGAGAGAGAGAGAGAGAGAGAGAGAGAAAGCGTTATGGAATGCCTGTATGTCTGTGGAGGTCAGAGGACGTCTTCTTGTTTGAGACAATGCCTCTGTCTGATTGCTTGCAAGCTCCCAGAGATTCCCGTATCTCCACTTTCTGTTTTGCTGTAGGAGTACTAGGCTTTTATATGGCTTTAGGGTTTGCCAGGTTCCCAGAAACAGAAAACCGTATATTCCTTGAGGTCTTGTCCCAGTCCTGACCTGGGCCTTGCCAAGTCTGCCCTTGGACAAGGACACAGAATTAGCATTCTCTTTGGCCTTTCATCAGTGTCTCTGAGAAAGCCTCAGAATCAGTCCAGCCCCTAACACAAGGCCTGTGTTGTTTCTTCTTTATTTTTTTCTTTTTTCTTCTGTGTGTATGTGTTTTGTCTGCATGTACATATGTGCATCATGTGTTTGCCTATTGCCTGAGGAAACCAGAAGAGGGCATTGGGTCTCCTGGAACTGGAGTTAAATCTGGTTGTGAACTGCCATATGGGTGCTGGGAACAACAAAATATAATAAGATAACACAAACTACATTGGAGTTGGACAAGGCAAACAAACAGAAGGAAGAGAACATTAGAGGAGGCCTAAGAATCAAGAATTTGTACACTCAGGAATCCCATAAAAGTGCTAAACTGGAAGCCATAATGTGTACATAGAGGACCTGGTACAGACCTGTGCAGGTCTGTGCATGCTGCCTCAGTCTCTGTGAGTCCATATGAGCTTTGATCTGCTGATTTAGAGGGCCTTGCTTTCTTGGCATCCTCCCTTCCCTCTGGCTCTTACATTTCCTCTACTTTGGCACTGGGAAGTGGAAGTGGATGGGTTCCCCTGCCCTGAGGGGAGGGAGGGATTTGATGGAGACATTCCATTTAGGGCATAATGTTCCACAATCTCTCTGTCTTGGAGACAGGCTCTCCATACACAGGCTGTCCTGGAACTCACTATGTAGACCAGGCTGGTTTCAGACTCACAGAGATTCCATAGCCTATGCTTCCTGAGTGCTGGGATTAAAGATGTGCACCACTCAGCCTCCCTGTATGTGCTCTTAATCACTGAGCCATTTCTCCAGCACTCAGGGTTTTTCCTCTCTTTTTCATTTCTTTAGCCTGAACACTTTCAAATTTTAGCATCTTCTCTCTTCTTTTCTTCCCTTTTTTTGAGACAGTACAGAATGGACGTGGCCTCTCGGTCCCTATGTCCTCACCTCCTCCCAAGCTCTGGGAGCTGGGAACCATCCTGCCTGGTCCACTCAGTTCTGGAGATGTAACCCTGGGAGTTGTGTGTACCAAGGCAAATGGTCCATCTTTTCCTTACATTCTGGAATCACCATGGCGTCTGTTTTAGAGCCTTTGGTATTATCCCACAAGTCTGTGACACTTGTTCTTTGTTTTTGTAGTATTAGTGATCAAACCTAGTTCTTTTCTTTTCTTTTTTTTTGGGGGTGGTGGTGGTGGTGGTGGTTGAGACAGGGTTTTTTTGTGTAGCCTTGGCTGTCCTGAAGCTTACTCTGTAGACCTGGTTTGGCTTTGAATTCAAATGTCCACCTGCCTCTGCCTCCTGAGTGCTAGGGTTAAAGGTGGGTACCACAGCCCGGCCATCTGTTCATTTTAAAATTCCCTGTCTGCTCTGAGCCACTGGAGTAAGTCTTTTTATTTTTTCTTTCCTTGTTTTTTTAATCAAAAATTTCTTTATCTCTCTTTCTCTTTTCTTCTCTCTTTCTGTTTGTCTTTCTTCCCCTCTTTCTTCCTGTCTTTCATTCTTTTCTTTTTTTTTTTTTTTTTTGGTTTTTCAAGACAGAGTTTCTCTGTGTAGCCCTGGCTGTCCTGGAACTCACTCTGTAGACCAGGCTGGCCTCGAACTCAGAAATCCACCTGCCTCTGCCTCCCAAGTGCTGGGATTAAAGGCGTGCGCCACCACCGCCCGGCTCTTCCTGTCTTTCTTTTCTTTTCTTTTTTTTTCTTTTCTTTTTGACAGTATCTTGCCAGCCTTGATCACAAAAGCTTCCTGCTTCAGCCTCCAGAGTGGTAGGATGTCCTCTTTTTCTCCTTTCCTTCCCTTTTTCCTTTCCCCTTTCCTTTCCTTTTTTCTTTCCTTTTCCCTTTCCTTTTCTTTCCTTTTTCCTTTCCTTTCCTTTTTTCCCCCTTTCTTTACAAAGACAGAGCTCATGCTGGGTATATAGCTCAGTAAGCAGTGTTTGGCTTGCATACAGGAGATCCTGAGTTCAATCTCTGGTGCTGAAAAAATAAATAAAGGAGCAAAGAAGCAGAGCCTTTCTGTGTAGCTTATCTGGAGCTGGCCTTGACCTTACAGCGTCTGCATCTTGAGTGCCAGCATCCCAGGCATGCTCTACCACATCTGGACTCAGTCTTTTATTTCAAAGATTTCACTTTTCAAATTTCTGTTTGATTAATTTTCCAGCTTCTTAGCTCTGCTGAGAACTCCCATCTTGGTGTTTGTTTCCTGTGCCTCCTTCACCTTGCAGCTCTCGTATCAATTTGAAAGTCCTTGATAATGTTGTAGTCTGGACTTTGGGGTTTGTCCAGGGTCCTTCCGTCTTGGGAGTTGATTTTTTTTTTCCAGATTCTTTGTAGGATGAATAATTTAGATTGCATCCTGAACACATGAATTTTACTTTGTTCAGCATCCTCTGGAGAGGAGTGGTGGGGCCATGTCATATGAGCAATAGGGAAACGGGCATCAGCCTCCAGTGTCACTCCTAAGGATCCACTCCCCTCATTTTATTTTTGAGACAAAGTTTCTTGCTGGGACCTGGGGCTTCCTGGTTTTAGGGTAGTCAGGCTGGTCAGTGAGCCCTGGGAAATTGCTGGTCTCTGCCTCTTCAGCACTAGGATTACAAACACACACCCCTCATCCAGCTGTTTATGTGAGTACCGGGGATTAAACTCAGTCCTCAGGTTTGGTAATCCCTTTACTAACTGAGTTATCTCCCAGCTCCTCACTGTTGGTGATTTAGCAAGCAGCCAGCCCAGTTTGTCCTCACAAATTCTGACTTGCCTTCTGAGGTGGCAGCTGATGCCTCTGTTTAGTTCCTGAGCCTGTGCTATGCTGGTTTGGGGGCTATCCCGTGCATCTATAGCTCTGGAGTGAAGCTCAGACTCACTCTGAGTATAAGTGTACACTCAGAATGAGGGAGATGGGGGCTCTGTTCTGACTCTCTCTACTGTGGCCTTCAGTGCTTACTGTTCAGCCTGTGGGGTTTGTTTTCCTGGTTCTGTTGGTAGAAAGGTGGGATGTCAGTGGGATGGTGCTGCACACCTGTAGTCCCAGCACTTGGGAGGCAGCGAAAGGAGGATCTAGAGTTCAAGGCTAGTCTGTGTGTGTGTGGCTTTGTGTGTGTGTATGTGTGTGTGTATGTGTGTGTGTGTGTGTTGGGGGTCGAGGTTGGGGTGTAGAGGAAGGGGGGACAGACTGAGTTTTGGAACACTACCTTTGTTGACATGCTGTGCTGTTCTGGGATGCAGTTTACTTGTGCAGAGCAGATTGATAAAGAAGCCTGAGGAAGCATAACTGGAATTCTGCCATGTGCAGCAGCTTCCCTGAGACTTCACTGGCTAATCTTCCTGCTTTTGCTTTTCAGTGAGTAGCACTGTATGCATGCCTTCAGTGGTGATCATAGGAGAGGAGCACTGTGGGAAAGAAGCATATTGTGTAGCTTGTAGTTTTATCTACACCACTTTGTGTTCCCAACTAGTCACAGCCACGCACCCGCCCAGGAGCTATCTCAGATGTGCGGATAAAAGACACACACATCTTAGCTCATTTTTAAACTGCCTTATTGGCTCTGTGGCTGGGCTCTTCTAAGCCTTCTGCAGCTAGTGTGCCCTTTCCTTCACTCCTAGCTCAACACCTCTAAATCTGCCCTCAGCTTAGTTGTTCAGATACCTTCTGTGAAGCCCATTGGTCTTCTTGCCCAAGGTTTTTTCAGGCTGCTTTCCCTTTCCACCTCCATTTTGTAAGATCTCTCTTGTAGCTCCAAGTCAGTCTCGTCTCTCTCCCCCAAGTACCTCTGTAAGGCCCCAATCCTCTGTCAGTGGTACTTTCTTTGATACGCCCTCAAGTGAGACACCAAGATGCAGATAGATGCAAAAGCAAGAGGTTTATTTTCTGGTGCTTTGGGGTCGACCTTCAATTAGTCCCTCAAGGCAAGTGACTAGAAGGCGACCTGAATGGGTATTACAAGCAGTTTTTATACGTTTTAGGGGCACAGGTTACATCAGCAAGGTTACAGTTCAAACTTATTGGCTAAGCATATTGACCTTTAAATCTATTGGCTAGCAAGCATGACACACATCTACCTGGGACTTTCCAGAGAGTCAAGTGACTATCAGTCAGTGCATTGTGAGAATTTTTTACTCTACAATGTTCCTGTGGGTAGAGAATAGAACTTGGCCTAGCCATGACCCCAGACAGGAGGGTGAAGCCGTAGGCAGAGTGTGGAACTGGACAAAGCCCTTAGGGTCCCTCACCTCCATTCTCGTCCTCCCTCCTAGCCTGTGGGAACCTGGAAGTCCCACCTCTTTCTTTCTGTCCAACTATTGATCATTGACATCTTTATTGATAGAGCAAAAACCAGTTGGTGGCCTACAGCGTCAGTAAACACAGATTCCCTAACAAAGCATCAGAATCACCCCCTACACCATGCGGGGAACATGCAGCCGGAGCCCAGTTAAATACCGTGTGATGATGACTTTCAGGTTGCTCTGAGTGCTTCCCTGAAATCTAGATTCAGGAAGCAAACTGCCTACTTTTCAGGGTGTTATAGGTTTGTTGTGTGTGTGTGTGTGTGTGTGTTTGTGTGTGTGTGTGTGTATACCCATGTGTGTACATATATGAGCATATGTAGGGCGACCCACAAAGGACAGAAAAGGCTGTTGGTTAAAGGAGGTTGTCAACTGCCCAAGTTTGTTTCTGGGAACCAGATTGTTGCAAGACCAATAGGTGCTCTTAACTGCTGAGTGATCCTTCAGCCTCTGCAGAATCAATCTAAAGTCACCTTTCTCATACCACCTCCACCAAATTCATCTTTGAATCCTGTTGGTTCCTACTCTGCCTTCAAATAAATTCTGAGTATAGCACATGTTGTCAGTCTTTGTCACTGCCATCATGGTTCCTTAGGTTGTAGCCATCTCACACCCAGCCCGTAACCTGCCTGAACTCCTTCAGAAGCAGATGGTTGTGTTAGAAGCTGGCCGGTTCCCTTCCTTCTTTCCGAGGCTGTGGCTACTCAGCATACTGTTATCTGGACCACACTGAGACCATAAGCATCACGTCTGGGGCTCCCAGATCTTAGTATTCAATCAGAAAAGCATCTGGATCAACACCTTATATAATTCATGCACTTTTGTTTATTTTGTGGCCACTCCCAAACAGTGAACAAATCATTACCAGGCAATGTGGAGGCCACGAAGCACATGAAATAAATTTGTAGGTTTTATTTGGGTAGGGGGATGTTGGTTTAAGACAGGGTCTTACTACATAACCCTGACTGTTCTCACTAGGTTAGCCTCTAACTCACAGAGCTCTGCCTGCCTCTGGGCTGTGAGAAAGATGTGCTCTTGTGCCATCTCTCCTATGGCTGTGGAACCTCTTTTTTTTTTTTTTTTTCTTTTTTAATCATTATGGTTCGATACTGTCTTCTTTTTTTCTCCTTAATTTCATAAAGTAATTTTGTTGTTATTGTTTGTTTTGTTTTCCTTCTGTGAATTTGTTTTTTGTTATGCTAGAATCAAACACCAGGACACATGCATGCTAGGCAAACACGCTACCAGAAATCAACCTCTAATCTTGCTCTTTTGTTTTGTTTTTGCTTTTCAAGCCAGGGTTTCTCTGTGGAGCTCTGGCTATCCTGGCTCAGTAGGCCAGGGTAGCCTCAAACTCGGAGATTCACCTGCCTCTCAAGTGCTGAGAGTAAAGGCATGCACCACCACAGCCAGCATACTGTTTTGTTTTATTTTTTTAATTAAAAAATGTATATGTCACATAGTATTACAGCTGAAACCTGAGAGAAAAATTTGGAAAAATTTTGGAAAATTATAACTTTTGAATCCATAATTTTTAGTTAAAATGTTGCAGACTATTTATTTTGGCCATATTAATTCTTTTCTGTTTCTCTGTTACAGTCAGGGCAATTTGGAAGCCACAAGGCTATTAGGAACTACCAAGTGCTTATTTCATGCAGAACATTCTTGAAAGATAAACCCTTATTTCTCAATATTATTACTCAACACTTAGAAGCATTTATAACACTTTATTAAGCTCTTAAGTAATGTTTATATTAGAAATCCTTGGCTATGTGGAAGAGTTAAACAAACATGCCAGTGTTATATCTTAACATTTGTGAATATTAACTTTGTCTCCCACAGGACAAGGTGGAGCCCTGGTGGACAGAGGGGACAACACTTATGGAGGAAAGTGGGTCATAAACCCTAGTGGAGGCCTTATCTCAAAGGGACACCCACTGGGCGCCACAGGTGACAATGCATTTTTGTCAGAATTATACTTTAGGCCCTAATCTTTTTTTTTTTTTTTTTGTATGTGAACATATATGCACACATTCATGTTCCTTGGCACACATGTGGAGATCATAGGACAACTTGAGAGAACTGGCTCTCTCTTTCCAATTTTATGTGAGTCTTGGGATTTAAACTCAAGTCATCCAGCATGGTGGCACATATCTTTATCTGCTGAGCCATCTTTCTGACCCTTGTTTTAATTGTTTGAGAGAGCCCTGACTCAGGTTGGCCTGGAACTCACTATATGATTCAAGGTGACGTTAAACTTAAAGCCGTCTCCCTACCTGCCCCCTCCCAAATGCTAGGATTGTAGGTACGAGCCACCATGAGTGGCTGAAGTCTGTGATTTCAGTATGCTTGGATTCTCTGAACTCAGATGGTGACTGGTGCTTTTAATGCTTTTTAACTGCAGTCATTTGATTTCCCATTAGCTGCAATGCACTTAGCTAACAAGATGTTTCCTAACAGACATCTTCCAAGACTCTCCAGGTAAGATCCTTTCAGATGAGGACATTGGGTGTTGTTGGACACCTCATTAGCACTTCATGGAACTTTACTTCATGGAAGATTACTTCTCTTGAGAAAACTGGACTAGGAATTCTGAGATTAGAATTTTACTATGGCTCCACTGCCACTGAAATTAATCACTTTGACTGTTAGGTCTTTAGTTGAAAAATGCCACCTTCTGTATTGGAGTGTCTAAGGTAGCTCAGTGGTAAAGTTCTGTGGTTTATTTCTGTAAAGATAGATGGCGGTGTGGAGATGGTTGTGCTTCCTCTTTATTATCTTACAGTGTCTTGTTGATTAGTGGACTATTTTAAGTTCTTACAGTTTTCACAATAGAGGAGTTATAGTTAACAATGTACTAATTAGTTAACCTTATTTTATTACTAGTTAAAACTCAAAATTTCAGCTAGGCTTGGTGATGCACCCCTTTAATCCCAGCAGTCAGGAGGCAGAGGCAGAAGGATCTCTGTGAGTCAATTGATGCCAGCCTGGTCTACAGAATGAGTTCTATGACGTACAGGGCTACAGAGAGAACCCCTGTCTCAAAAAACCAACAATAAACAACAACAATGAAACACTCAGATTTCATAAGCGTATAATACAGTAGAAAATAGAAAAGCTAGGTGTTGTGTTGGTGGAGGAGAAAGGAAGAAAGTGTGTGAGGGGCCAGGGGCCATTGCTTTACAGTAGGGTACTGTACTCTACTTAGTTAGGATTCAGAAGGTCCTGGGTACCAAAGTCTTCCAGGAATAAGATAAACGAGGGTTGGGCCAGGCGGGCAGACTGAGTACACCAGGTAGCTGTAGTGTGTGCACTGCCTTGTTGCTGTGTTCTTCTTTTATTTTTTCTTTGGTTCATTTATTATCATTTAAAAAACTAACAGGCAGTTTTTTTTTTTATTAATTTTTCTCTTCTATGGAACCATTTCTCTATGGTTTGTCATGGATGCTCAGGGTTGTACCACGAGCATCTTCCATTTGCCAGAGTCTGACTCCGAGAACTGTCATACCTTCTCATATAATCTAAGTCTTTCATAAGATTTATTTTTATTTTTTATTTATTTTATTCATGTGTTTGTTTATTCAAGGTAGGGCTTCTTTGTATATCCCTGGCTGTTCTGGAACTTATTCTGTAGATGGCTTCAAATACAGAGATTTGCCTGCCTCTGCCTCCTGAGTGCTGGGGTTAAAAGCATGCTCCACAACCCCACCCTGCTTATTTTTAATTAGGTGTGAGTGTATGTATTTACCATCAAGATATAAGTGTCAGCTGGGCATTGGTAGTGCATACCTTTAATCCCAGCACTTTGGGAGGCAGGCAGATCTCCGTGAGTTCTAGGCCAGTCTGATCTACAGGACAGACAAGGCTACACAGAGAAACCCTGTCTGCACGAGGGAGTGAGCTGAGGTGGGGTGGGACGTAAGTGTTACTATTGCACCTTTAGAGTTATCTTGCTGTGCTAGTCATGTTTGTGGTTCATAGGCACCACAGCTGGTCAGGACTATTGATCCTGCCCCTCCTTCCCTTCCAGCTTACATAGCATAGCACCTTCTGGTATGATGAAAGCTAGTCCTCAGGAAGGAGGCTTTTGGAGCAGATCCAGCTCGACTTCTCGAGTCCTGTGCTCAAGTGTGTGCTGTCTTTAGCACTAGACACTTACCTTTGACTTATGGGATGACATCAAGCTTGAGCTCTTCTGACTGAAACTTCAAAAGGGATTCCTCATGCCTGGCACAGGGCCTTTTATTAGGTAGTCTGTGGCTCTTGGGACGGGTGCTATTATCCCAAGTGGTATAATGCCACTTAAACAAACAATGTATACATATGTGTATGTATGTATGCACATACACGTATATGTATTACATATATTTTAAGTAAATATAAAATAAGGATTCCTTATGAGTATTTCAAATATTCTTAGTGTTATAGATCGCTCCCTACTCCCACCTCATTTTTCCTGTTTCCCACTTCATATCACCTACATCTTTCTTAGTTCAATTTGATCTCATTGCTTTTCAAAATGTTCCCATCAAATTTTTTTCACTTTTTTTTTGAGACAGACTCTCACTATGTAGCACTCGCTGTCCTGGAACTCAAACTGTAGACCAGGCTGGCCTTGAACTCTCAGAGATCCGCCTGCCTCTGTCTCCCGAGTGCTGGGATTAAAGGTGTGCACCACCCTGGGCAGCCGGACGCTGTTTTCCATTTCAACACACCAGAAAAGAATGATTGAGGAGAGCAAGTCTTGATTTCCTGAACTGGAGTCTTTTTAAAATGCTAATTATTTTAGCGTGGGAACTAGCTGTGAATCTTGGGCTTTAAGCTCAGGAGGGGGAGCGTGGCTTTGGCGGGAAGTCCGAACTAGCGGCTCGCTGGGGCGGGTGGGCGGAGTCTGCGCTCTAACGCGGCCCGGGACGCTCTGTGCTCGACTCGCCAGGTCTGGCTCAGTGCGCGGAGCTCTGCTGGCATCTGAGAGGCGAAGCCGGAAAGAGGCAGGTTCCCGGGGCAAAGGTGGCTCTGCAGCACAATTTAGGCCTCGGTGGCGCTGTGGTTGTCACCCTCTACAGGATGGGTTTTCCCGAAGCTACCAGGTAAGTGCCATTCTTAAGTTCTGTCACTTTTGTCCTCATGGTTTACAATAAGTGACGCTTGCATGTTAAAAAAAACAATAACCAAAGAAACCAACTACAATTTGATTAAGCATTTAAGAGAAAGTATGACATTACTTCTTTAACTTGGTTTTAAAAGTTAAGACTTAGTTTTTAAGCCAAGGCAGCCTTAGGAAAATTTTGTTCAGAAAGAGGGAGTGAAGCCAGGAGTGCTGGCCCACAAGCCTGCCGAATGCAGGCAAGTCACCTTTTGGTTGCCTTCTCACAGGTGGCTTTCTTCTTTGGCCTCTGGCTGCTGTCAGAGAAAGCCACCAAATACGTGTGCCATTGTACCCTGGCAAATGTGTTTCTGAACCAGCCCTCATTGCTGCTCGAATTCCTGCGTCTTGCTTTCTTCTTGTCTTTGAAGTATCTGCCTCTGTAGTGCCTCTTGCCCCAGCCCTCTGGGGTTCCTCAGCTTCCTGGCAGCCTCTCTGGGTTCCTCTTTCTCCTTTTCCAAGGCCCAGCTTTCCTCTGTGTCCTTGGTTTCCAACCACCTCCTGTACTAGATATTATGTATACCCTCTTTTGAATCTTCCTATCTTTCCCTTTATAAAGGGCTTCTTGCCCCTGTTATCATACACCGGAGAATCTTTCCTAGTCCACAAGATCTTTTTTTCTTCTTGCTTTAATTATTCTCTTTCATGATGAGCCTTTCACAGTGAACCTCCTCAGGGTCTATTTTGAGGTCTGGTGTGTTCTGAGTTGATTATCCTTGACTATGTCTTTCCTCCTTTAACCACCCTGTAGTCTTTTTAACTCGAAGGGGCTCTTTTTTTTCCCAAAATTCTTGGTAATTACTTAGTCATTTATTTATACAGTTTGTTCTACAAAGGATAGTGGCCACTGTCTATTATAGTCTTTACTTTTTCAAAATTTAAGGATGGTTTTCCTCTCTCTGGTCTCACTCTTCTTTTTCTGCCCAGAATTTTGTTTTTGTTTCAAACATTAAGATGCATCTCAAACTTAAGAGTGTCTTCTTTCAAATGCCCATGATCTTTTGTAGTCCTTGGTGGGGGCTAATCTTGTTTCTTCCTAAATCTGATTCATTCAATGCTGATGACCCTGGAATACCACGAAGTTCACACTTGTGCATCGATGAAACCTCTTAGGGAACAAATAGTCAAGCTATGAAAAGCCAACACAGTCGGATAATTGGCATAGAGACTTTGTTTTCTTCAGAGTAAAATTAGGAAGTTTGTCTACAGACTTTTTTTTTTTTTTTTTTGAGGCAGTCTCACACGGTAGTCCAGGCTAGCCTTGTATTAGAGGCAGTAAGTTTCTTGCTTTGCCATTTTAGTGTATACCTGCAAGTTCTTACATACAAATGGTGCAGTGTATAATTAACCTCCACAGTCGAGGTCCAGGATGATTCTATGACCTGCTTCCTCTAGTCCTCTGGTTCTTTCTCTCTCTGCTGAGACAGGGTCTCACTATGTAACTGACTGTCATGGAACTCTGTAGACCAGGCTGGCCTCGAACTCAAGAGATTCACCTGCCTCTGCCTCCCAAGTCCTGGGATTAAAAGCATGAGCCCAGCCAGCTCTTTATTTCTTTGTGTAGTTTTCAGCAGCCCTTACTCTGCCCTTGCCACCGCTGCTCTGTTTGCTGCCTCTGTAGTTTGCCCTTTTCATGAATGCCAACGAGAACATAAAAGGGTGAATTACAGGGACACTCTCTTAATTTTAGCTCCCAGTGATAGTTTTCTAACTTTTCCTTCTGCAGTTACTGACACTCTGCTCTAAGGATGAACTTTCTCTCCTCTCCTGTCTTTAAATGTATCATATACACTGCATGAAATCACAAGGCCTTATTTTACCTAGGAGGTCACAGTCCTTTAGTATCAATTATTATGGCGCTGTGGTTTGGCCATTAGGAATCCTCTCAAGGTGACCCTTGTGCTCCATGATTCTGTATAGTACTTCATTAACCTCTTTTCTGGCTCAGGAAGTTAGTCCAATCTCTTCAACTTTCTTTTTTAAATTTTTAGTATTTAAGTGTACGTGCTTTTGGGCTTGCATATGTGCGTGAGTGGAGACAACCCGATTCCCTGGAGAGCTGGAATTATAGGTGCTTGTAAACTGCCTGATAGGGTTCCGGAAACCAAATCTGGGTCCATGTTTGCAGCCCCTCTTGTCCTTTCTTTTTTTTTTTTTTTGTTTTTGTTTTTTAAACTTTTTTTTTTTTTTTTTTTTTTTTTTTTTTTTTTATTGAGACAGGGTTTCTCTGTGTAGCCCTGGCTGTCCTGGAACTCACTCTGTAGACCAGGCTGACCTTGAACTCAGAAATCCACCTGCCTCTGCCTCCCAAGTGCTGGGATTAAAGGCGTGCGCCACCACCGCCCGGCTCCTCTTGTCCTTTCTATGGGCCGTCACTAGCCTAGTCATTTCTCCAAAGAGTTTTAGTTTCCTTTAGTGGAGAATGATGCTGAGACACCATATATGACTGCTGGCTAGCTCGTTCTTGCCACTCCCAGGCCTTCTCAGGAGACACATACATGTATTATATTAGTTCAGCCTTGTTTTAAAATAGAAATCTAGGGGTAATATGTGACTTCTGTGTCGTTAATACTCACCATCTGTTTTTAGCAGTTAGAACAGGAATTTAGGAAACTAGTTAAGAACCATTTGTAGATGGCGTCACTTTAGTTTTGTGGGTTTTTTTTGGGGGGGGGGGCAGGAAAGGGGGTTGTTGTTTTCCAGACAAAGAGGGAGAGGTGACCAGAAAGAGTACCCTTCTAAGTTTCTGATCACACTACCTGTTTGGTCCTGTTAACCTTTTATCACTTAAGAAATATTGAAAGTACTCACTTTAGAGTTCAGAAAACTACCAGAGTATATATACCTCCTACCCTGTAGCTGTTGGGCAAACTGGGTTTCTTCCCCAGTGCATTTGCCTTTCTTTTTTCCTATGCCTCTGGTTCATGCTCTGGTTAAGTGGATGAAATGGTCTTACTGAATTCTGGTATCACTCAGGAGTTTGGGGAAAGTGACCTTGACTTTTTAGTACAACATGGGAAATGCCCACAGCTCGGTCAAGGGGCATCTGGTTGCTTTTCCCATCATATCTGGAGAGGTTTTTTGTAACACCAGTTCTCCAGGCTGTATATCTGTCATGTCATATGGGCTCATCTGCCAGCTCTGAGGTCAAAGGGACTTGCTGATTGTCTGTGAACTTTGCTCCCCAGTGTTTGCATGTATTTCATAACCCTCTCTAATCAGAACAGGTGATAATCTTAGAACATTTTCACTACCCCCCCCAACACATACCCCAAATGCTTTCACTTCCATCTGTAGTTTCCCACTTGTAGTTTGACAGCTGCACATGAACTCCCTGACTCTAGATTTGCCTACTCTGCATATTTCATATAAAGGAAGTCATAAGGCATTATTCTTTCATGACTGGCTTCTTTGATTTAATATAGCTGTTTCGAAGGCTGAATACTACCCTATTTGTATGGAAGCTCCAGGCTCTCCTAACCCTTGTCCTCACTGGTCTTTTATTAGCAGTCTGTGACATAGTTGATACAGAGCTGAGAGGGCCTTACAGTGAAACTTCCCACTTAACCTAGTGGGAATACAAACACAAACTAGAATGTTCTTTAAATTAATCTTTAAGCCCTTTCCCACGTTATCTGTGGTAGATTTAGTTCAGTAAGCTTGTGTTTACCAAATTCAAGTAAAAACCAATTACAATTTAATTTCTACTAAAATTTTGTATCTGAAGTTGTGAGAATGTAGGTATGATGGTTTGCATGTGCCTATATTCCAAGAATTTGGTAGGGTGAGGGGAAGGAAGATCACTTGAGCTAGCCTGGATAACACAGCAAGACAAAACAAAGCAAACAATAAAACAAAAATCAGTAGAAATATTTTTTGTGTGAGAGATATGTCAGTTTATGTTATTATTTAGTTTTAAACAGGACATGTATCAAGTGACTTGCAGGGAAGGATGTTCAGAAAATATTGACAGTATTTTTTTGTGTTTATTATTTCCTGATTTAGATGAAAAGTTGGTTAATCAATAGCATGATGAGCTTTACCAAACAAGAGAGAACCTTGACCTTTGGAAATATGTCTGAGACCTGCCACATAGTCAGGATACTTTGTACTCTCCTGGGCCTGCCAGGATCTGTTATTTTACCTGATAGAGTCAAGAACTGGCTAGCATCGAAAAGGGGACACTGATGGTTAAAAGTTAAAAGCCAAATGTATTTATTTATTTATTTATTTATTTATTTATTTATTTATTTATGACAGGGTTTCACTATGCAGCCCTGGGTGCTGTGGAACTTTCTGTAGCCTAGGGTGGCTTTGAATTCACAGAGATTCTCCTGCCTCTGTCTCTGAAGTATAGGGATTAGAGGCATGTGTCACTACATGAGGTGGATTTTTTTCCTTAAGATTCACTTATTTATTTATTTTATGCATATGTCATGTATCGACTGAAGAGCGAATTGGATTCCATGGAACTGGAGTTAACAGACAGTTGTGAGCCACCGTGTGTTCTGGGAATAGAGCCTGGGTCCTCTGGAAGAGCAGCCAGTGCCCTTAACTGTTTGAACCTTCTGTCTTTGAACCTTCTGAGTTTCAGGTTTATAAGATGAAGAGAATTTTAGAGCTGCCTGGTGGTGATAACTGTTCAATATTCTAAAAACATGTATCATCACTGTCCGTACAGCTAAAAGTAGTTTGGACGATGAAGTTTTGTGATGTGGGGTTTTGCTGTTTTATGTTTTGAGATACAGTCTCATTTAGCCCAAGATGGCTATGAACTCACTGTGTACCTGATCTTCAAGTCCTCCTGCCTCTACCTCCCGAGTGCTGGCACAACCAGATATAGTGGTTCAGATCTTAACACACTTAAAATACTGGAGAAGACCTTAAAAAATTTGTGGGACTGTCTTGTGCTTACACTCAAAACGAATGCTCCATTTCTTTAAGAGATTATTCAAAGATTCCATTTTTATCCCACCCCAAACAAACCTTCCTGGCTATCACAGTAGAGATGGATTCAGTTCACTGTTCCATAAGAGGGTGCCTCAAAAGAACCGAGTCTGTGTTGTCACATCCCCTGGGTACCTGGCCTTTTGGTAGCATTTTGACTTACTTAACTTTTATCTCCTAGACTTCTCTGCTCTAGGCTTTGAGACACCTTGCCTGATTTCTGAGTAAATCTTCACTGGCTCTTAGACTTCTAAATAATGGATTCCAAAGGCCATTGTCCTGGGGCTGTCTTCTCTGTACTCCATTCCAGGATTTCAACACTTGATTCTGCTCATGGTTACCTCACTTGATCTCCAGCCTGATCCCTGTGAATTCTAGACTCTCCTGTCCACCTGCCTGCCTCACAGACTTCAGCTGATGATAGTTGAGGCAGATCACCAGTCCCTTCTGCTCCCACTTCACTCTTCCTCATCCACTGCCACTCCTGGCTACCTCCAGACTCCTGAAACAGCTTTTCTACCCGCTTTCCATGTCCCTCACCCCAGCAACAAAGGCTGTAGATTCTGCTCTTCTTTTGAATCCGTTTCCTTCACTTCCATTAGCAGACTGCACCCATGGGCCAGGTGACCGTCACACATACCTGGACCACTGCAGCAACCTCCTAACCATTCTCTTCACCTGTTTTCATGCTCTCTAGGAGTCCACACACCGTTGGGAGGAGTGTCACAAGCTACTTTTCTACTTTACTGTTGCTGTCTCTCTGGCTTCCCAGATTCCTAACTTTGCGTTGCCTGTGTCTTCTGCCCAGGTCTCCACCTTCATACTGTGTTGTTGTTTCCTCATTTACTGTGTTGGTCACTCTGGTCTTTTTTCTTTTGTCATATGAGCTCTTTCTGCCCTTGAGGTCTTGGCAGCGTACTCTTTAGGTAGTCAGATCCTGTCCTTGCTTTAATAAGATATTAGCGGAAACTTACCTCTCACATCACCTTGAGCACTATTGCTTCTTGTGTTCCAAGCAGTCACTTGATGTTGCTTTTGTATTTAACAAGTGGTATTTTCTTCCTTCCTACTCTTCTCTTTTTAAAACAGGATCTCACTATGATTCTTGGCCATCCTGGAATAACCATGTAGACCAGGCTGGCCAGAGATCTGCTTGCCTCTGTCTCCCAAATGCTGGGATTAAAGACATACAACACTATGCCTAGCTTCTCTTTTTCTGAGACAGGATCTTATTAGGTAGCCTAGGTTAGCTTGAAACTCATTATGTAGCCAAGGTTGGCCTTGAACTCAATACTCCAGACTCTCCCAAGCACTGGGATTATAGGCATGTGCCACCATAGCAGTTTAGATGGGTTTGGAATAACTGAAAGAGGATGGAGTGTAGCTCCTTAGTAAGGTTGTGCTCAGTGTGTACTAGGCCTGGATTTAGTTCCCACAGAGAGAGGGTGTGGGGGATGAGAGAGAGAAAGAAGAAAAGGAGGAGTATATGGGGGGATGGAGAGAGGAGAGGAGAAGAGGCAGTGCTGGGAGTGAGATGCTGTGCTTCCCTCCTGGACCTCCTAAGCTCCTCTCTGCCTGCGCCAGTCTGTGCTGGTCTGTCAGAAGAATGGTCTAACAACAGACAGCTGAACGTTGACTGCTTCCTCAGACCTAGCACTTGGGTTCTTGTAGTCCACAACAGTCATGGCTATTGCTATTTTCCATGTGCCCACAGTGCTGGGTGCTTTGCACAGGCTCTTGTAATTCCACAGAGCCCTTGGCATTGTCCTTTGCCCTGCTACCATTGGACAATGGGATAAAGTCAGTCATTTGCTTGGAATCCTACTGCTTATGAACGGAAGAGGTGCTTGTGAGCTTTAAGAACTGTGTTGCTAATGCCATAATCTGTGATTGTCTCCTCGGACAACAAGCAAGCAGTGTGTCACGCTATGCTTATCTCCTATCACAGGTGAAAGTGACTGCAGCCCAGGCTTGCCTGCCCCATTGCCTCACCCACTTCCTTGTAATTCAGCTCTGATTGCCATTATCTCTGGCTTGGGTGATTGCAATAGTCTCTTAGCTGAACTCCCTGACTCCTCCCGGCCTGTCTCTTTAAGGTCCATTTTCCAGCTGATGGCTAGATTTGTTTTTTTTAAGACATAAATTAGATCATGTCCCCATGATTTGATTATATTTAAAACTGGGAACTCTGGTTGGTTGTTTAATTTGTGTGTGTGAGTGTGTTTTGAGGGGCCAACCCAGGGCCCTTAAGCATGTTAAGCACATGTTCTACCTATGAGCTATACTCTGAACCTTTAAAGGTGAACCACAAGAGGCAGGACTACTCTAATGTTGGCTGAGATGCTGAGAGTCTGGACTCCATCCCCAGCACTGCAAACAAATGAATAAATAAACTGACAAAAAGAAAGCCAACCCCACTGTCTGGGCGTCCCGGTTCTGTTCTCTGCTGTGGTCTCTTAGAGCTGGCCTTTCTCCTGTGCTATAATTTGGGCACCATCCACCTCCTTTAGTCTTCTGTATTTCCTTTTCCACCTTTATATCTGGGTTCCTTCAGGCTAGCATGGCTTTTCCACCAAAACTCTTTGTAGGGCTGGTTCATTCAGTAATTGAAGGTGTAATGTAACTATTGCCTCCCTAGAGGGGCTCTCCCTGCGACCAGTATCTACAATAGATGACCCCTCTCTCTAGCAGGCACTTGATTGGTTTCTTTTCTTCTGATAACTGTATGCCTGTTTGGCTGTTTGTTTTTGCTTGTTAATGGTCTTGACTGTAAGTTTAAGGAGGGTAGCTTCACCTAGTGAGAACTTAGTATTTGCTGTAGGGTAGAGTTGGGTAATTGTTTTATATACTTACTGAAGATTTTCTTGAGATAAGAGTTGCAACATCTCTGTTCTTGGGCTTTTTGAAAGTTACTGTTCCCTAAATGTTGAAAACTCAAGTACCTCTGTGACTCCCAGAACTGACATGAATCCTTCCACAGCTCCTTCAGAACGCACCAGGTTTCCGCTGCTCCCACCAGCTCTGCAGGGGATGGATTCAAGGCAGATCTCGTCTTTAAGGAGATTGAGAAGAAGCTGGAAGAGGTGAGAGCTGTAAATAAAACACAACCAAAGACCAGAGCCTGGGCTGGGAGGCGGAGCTCTCACTGATGCTGAAGGTGCACAAGGTGAAGCCTCACCATGTGTTGAAATACTTTGTGTTTCAGAATCCCTGAGTGGCCTACGAGGCTTCTTTGTAATTCTAGTCAGACTGCGTTTCAAATGTGCACATTTCTAGATATGTTTTGTTTGTTTTGTTTTGGTTTTTTTGAGACAGGGTTTCTCTATGTAACCCTGGCTATCCTCAAACTCACTCTGTAGACTAGGCTGGCCTCTAACTCAAAGATCTGTCTGCCTCTGCCTCCAGAACACTGCGGTAAAAGGCGTGTGCCACCACCGACTAACACACATCTCCATATCTGAATGTAAAGACTATAGTTAATAATGTTTTAAATCATTTTCATTTTAGTCTTCCTTGTCAGGAAGATATCCAGTTGTAGGTATAATTCAGATGTAAAGAGTTCTCATTTATTTTGAAACAATTTTTTTTTCTTTTTGAGACAGATTGCCTGCTGGCCACAGACTCAAAAGAGTATCTATGCATCAGCTCTCACCATTCTGGGGTTGACCATGTAGCCATCACACTCAGTTTATAATGTCCTCAGAATTAAAGAGATGTCATTTAAAAATCATTCCAGAGGATATTTTAAATGAATCTTTAACTATACCTGATATCAGAATTCTTCATTACTGTTTTTTATTAGCATATAAATATTTGGTTACATAATGGGATTTTAAAGTAAAATTTGTTTTTGTTGTTTCTCTTGTCCTCATCTTCTTTTCCTCAGAATTACTTTAAAGATGGAATTATTTATTGGCTTTTCCCCCTTGAAACATGTCTCATTGTTCATGCTGCCTTCTAACTACATAGCCAAGGAAGACCTCCCCTCCTGTCCCCACGCCCTCCTGTCCCCATGCCCATGCCAGGGTTACAGGAGTGTACTACCTTAACCAGCTGTTTGCAATTTTCAAAGTTTTTTTTTTAATTGGCTACTTCTTTGTTGCAAAAAAGAATTCTAATTTTTAAAATTCACATTATATATATGGATACATAAAAAAGAAAAATGTTTTAGGTAGCTTCAGAGTTGGCTCAGCAGTTAAGAGTGCTGGCTGCTCTTGGAGAGGTCCTGGATTGGGTTCCCAGCACCCACAGTGTGGCTTAAATCAGTTGGTAACTTCAGTTCCAGAAGATCCAATGCCCTCTCCTGGCTGCTCAGGCACATGTGCAATGTATGTACATAAATGCAGCCAAAATACTCATATATAATAGACTCACACCCTCCAGCAGACATACATGCAGACAAAACACCAGTGCATATAAAATGAACAAATAATTAAAACTTTACTATATCTAAGTTCATTAACAATGTTATAAAAATAAGTAAAAACAAGTCATTTTTAAAAAGAAAAATTTTAAATTTCCCAATTGTACCATTTAGAGTTCACTAAAATGTTACCATGAATATTCTATTTGTCATTCTTATCTTATATATAAACTAGAATCTTACATAGCCAGGACCATACAATACATGTTGGGTTTATTGTACTATACATAAAAATATATTTTTGTGCTATAATTAGTTATTTTTTAAAAAGTCTTTTTTATTGGATTTATTTTACACATATGGGTGTTTTGCCAGCATGAACTGTAGTTATGCTTCTTTTTCTCTTTCACAACAGATTTTATTAGAGCAGGGTACACAGACATTCCAATTCTTGTCACACGTACCCAAAAAGAGCCATATATTGTGTTCACATACCCAAACTCTGAAGAGTCACATTGTGTTCATGTATGCAAACGAAGAGCTACACATTTTTTTTCTTTGAACTTATTCCAGTGATGTTCCAGCCTCAAACTTGGCAAGTTTCCCTAAGATCTCTCATAACAACCAAATGCTCAGAATCCTCAGTTCCACCGACTCACAATTTTATGCCACACACAGAACACACTCAAAATTTCCATCATTCACAGTGCATTATCACAACTGTTAGGAAAATGGTTATCCATTACTACTGCCATGACCACAGACATTACAGTTCTGACAGGGCAAGGACCAAAGACTGGCTTTCTTACGAAATGGTTCTACTAGAAGCACAGGACCAGATATAACTGAAAATATTCCAGCCGCAAATGCAAACTGAGACTCCAAACTGCCATTTAGTATGCTTTGTATTGAAGGATATAAAACTAGCCATCAAGGGAGAGGCCAGCACTCAGCACATTTCCTCAGTCCTTGACTGTAGGGCCGAGGACTTCTCGTCTGACTGCATAGTGGCTAGTGTGCCTAGCCAAGGTGCCAGGGTTTTCATAATGATCACAGCCTTCCGGGGCTGGAGCAGAGCCAGGCTGATGGCTGCAGGCTTGGCTCTGGGATAGGAGCTGCTGGACGGTCAGGCTGCCATCTTGGGGGAATGTCCACATTCTGTTTTCGCCTAGTATGCTTTATGGCCGTGTATGTAGGTCCTTCACCTGCTTTTCAGAATGTTGTACATGTTTGTACATATGTACCATAACTTATTTAATTGGCCTCTTATGATAACTATCAAATTATATTTAAATTTTGCAAATGCAACATTGCTGTTACTAATTTCCTCTTGTACTTTAAATACTAACTAGTTTAGTTAAAGGAGAGAATCGGGTAGTTAAGTGTGTGCATTTTACAGTCTAGCTCGCCAGACTCCCACCAGAAAGAGGATAATACTCTGCAGAGTTACTAAAATTCAAGAGAATAGCTGCTTTTTTTCCTACAGCTTCTCTAAAACTATATTGGCTTATTATATAAAAATCTTTGCCAGCCTAGTCAGAAAGAGGTAGCTCACTGCTGTGTTTTGAATGCCTTTCATTATTGTGTCCACAGTAAAATGAGGAATTCTATGAGGACTTAGTTCAGAGGTCACATAGAAAGATTGGGTACTAGATTACCTACTACTGTGCAGTCAGGTCTGCGGGGATAGTCCAGGAGGACTTCCTTACTGGGATTAACAAAGAGGGGCTGTTTCAGGCTTGCACTTTGCTTTTTGCTGTGCAAGCCTACGCCTCCTGTTCTCACTTTAGTTCTGCACTCCTTCACAACCTTATCCCAGTCTGTGTCTCCTTCCCACGATCGTCAGTTTCCTCAGGGTTTGGAGCACTAGAAAGGGAAGTCTGGACTCTTTGTCGGTGAATGCATTTTCTGCCTCAGGGAGGCAGCCTAGCAGGAGGTTTCCTTTCCACCTTTGTCTTCTTAGCGGTCTTCTAAGAGCTTCACTGGCTCTTAAAATTCTGCCCTTTTGTCCATTGCCTTCACAGCAGCACCTACTCTCTGGCCTTCTGTCCTCTCAGAGAGGACTTTTCCTCCCATAAGAGGCATTTAAGACTTCTTGGTAGGAATGATCTCCAGTTTTGCAACTGTGTTTTTCACTTTTAACTCTCTTACCTACTTTCACTCCTATTTCAAAGGAAAAGTATTTATTGACTATAGAGTATGGGTTTTGTAAGAGAGTCAGTTGGTTCTTTAAAAGAACAGCAAGTGTAAATTAATCTAGGTCTGTTTTAGGCAGTGGGAGGTAAGTGGTAAGTAGAACTTGTAAATGCTTGCTGAGATTTCCCAGCTATAACATTGGTGTCTGCTCTGGCTGATTCATGAGGCAGTGCAAGGAGGCAGACAGACCTGGAAGTAGTCACTTAGTGACCACTGGTTAGAGTTTGGTCCTTAGGACTGAGAGGAAATGTACCTGTGACTACTGAAAAAAGTGGGTGCTGACTAGAACAGCTACTTTGCTGTAAGACCCATGGCTGCTTTCTGGAACTCTAAGAAAAACTCTGACACGCCAGTGGACTGACTAATAGAAGGCAGTGAGAATGCTAGTCAGTAGTGAGGATGGAGAGAGTTGAACCCCTGTTCAGTGCTGGGAGGGGTGTGGGGATTGGTGTGACTGTTGAAAGTTTGGTAGATCCTCGAGGAGTTAAGCAGCTTATGATGCAGTAGCTTCCCCTAACTACCCAAGAGAAAGAAGAGCCTCTGAAGACAGCGAAAAGAGGGCTTGAGAGACGGCTCAGTGGGCAAAGCTTCACGAGCATAGGGACCCATGCTGGGATTCCCTGAGCACCACAAAGGCAGAGTGTGGCGGTGGGCTTCTAAAATCGAGAGACACCTGAGGATCCTGGGAGTTTGCTGGCTAGCCAGTCTAGCTGAAGCATTGAGCTCCAGGTCCAGTGAGACCTTGTCTCAAAAAGGTGGAAGCGGGCGTAGTGGCACACACCTTTAATTGCAGTACTCAGGAGGCGGAGGCAGGTGGATCTCTGTGAATTTGAGGCCAGCCTGATCTACATAGAGAGTTCCAGGACAGCCAGGGTTACACAGAGAAACCCTGTCTATGAATGAATGAATGAATGAAATAAAATGGAAAAACAAGTGAGAAAGACATCAGTTGCTGGCATCCATGTATGCCTGCCTAAGTGAACACCCCTTCTCTCATGCGTACATGTATATATACCACAGACAACACACATGCACACATACAACAAATACCATAAATAGATAAATAACCATATACAGTAGAATATAATCTGACCATAGAAAGGAGAGAGGTACTGTTTGATACACAATTCAGCATGAACCTTGAGAACATGGTAAATGAAACAGGCTACTCACAAAGAGCAAACTGTATGGTTCTATTTATAGGAAATATTAAGATTAAGCCAGTTTGTAGAAACAAAATAGGTTTGTGGTTTTCAGAAGCTGATATCAGAAAATGGCGACTGACTGAAAGGGGTGTAAGTTCACATGAGAACCTGAAAATGTTCTGAGATTAGTGATGTTGGGGTTGCACATTGTTTATTAGCCACTCTCCACATCACTGGCCACATACGTGACACAGCTGTTTAAGGAAAGAAGGATTTGTTTTGGCTCCTGGTTTAAGAGAGGTACCGTCTGAACATGGTGGGAGGGATGGTGGCAGGAGCATGAGTCATAGCGCAACTATGGCCAAGAACTCTAGCCCAGGAAGAAGGGCTGATGTTCAGCCTGTTTATTTGATCTGGGATCCCAGCACATGGGATGGTGCCACCAACATCTGGGGCGGGGGTTCTTCCCTCCATTAAACCTCTGTAAATGCATTAATAGACAGCAAGGGGTGTCTTCCTTAGATTCTAAGTCCTATCAAGTTGATAATGAAAATTAACTGTCATACACGTCTTAGAATGCACTAAAAAGTTAACTAAATTGTGTACTGGGGAAAAGTGCATTTTGTAGAGTCTGAATTATACTTCAGTTGTTGTTATACTGTGCATGTATAAACACACACACACACACACACACACACACACACACACACACACACACACA